AACCTACCATTTGTTTGTATGACACGCGAGAAGCAAACGGATCTGGAAAGCGGTGGCGAACTGTGTCTATCGGCGGCCGTTCGGTCCATTCTTTTAATTGGTTTCGATGTTTACTGTTAGTTGTCTTTCAATCACTACTATTACACACAAACACATAACTGTTTTACCTATTGTTAGCATTTCATCGCATTTTAAACTTACAAAACAATATAAAAAAGTTTTAAGACTTAAAGTTAGACTACAGTTGTGTTTGAGTTCAACAATAATTAACTTAATTATATGGGGTTTGAAATGATTACCATTTGATGGCTTTATAGCACTCATAGACAGAGAGTATAGTGTATAAAACAAATGCATTATAAGATTAGTGTGTTTTGTGGGAAAGAGAGTGAATGAACAAAACGATGGTTTGGCTGAAGAGTGAATGATTTGATTGATGTAAATGTCATACCGTCTGCTGTTCCACACCATTGGCTGTAATGACAGAAACGCATTGCTTGTGATTAACCATTGGTTCGCATGAGTTGTTTGTCTGTTCCGAACACGTCTGGAAGGACTGCGCCCGGAGTGCGGCGTTCATCGGCTGTTCCAGCGGTGATGTGAGCGACGGTTGCGACTGAAGCGACGCCATCGTCGGGCACACCATCGACGACAGCACCAGTGAGTCGGTGGGCGTCGAGCCGTTGGCCATGTGTTGCGCTGTCGTCACCGCCGATGGCGTCGACCCAATGGTCGAGTGGTTGACCATCGGCTGCATTGGCGGCGCTGGACTGCCATTCATGTAATTCATGTGATACGAAGACAACGGCGGCAGCGATGAAGTGGTCATTGTCTGCGACGTCTGAACCATTTGCTATACATAGGAGACAATGCATTAGATATACCATTATATGACATATGAATCAAGTGTTGGATGTGTTGGAAGTGTTGGATGTGTTGTAAGTGATGGACAAATACCCAGATCTCAGCCCAAAGGCTCTCCCATTCGTTGTTAACCTCTAATCTCATGAGAAATCTCTTCTCTGATATACGCGACGGTCGGAACTGACGGCCAATTTGTGGACACATTGTCTGCGAACTCACAAATTGGTGCCAAAAGTGATGGACAACACAATGGATGCGACAATGGATTGAATCAAACGATTCGATCGTTTGTTTCAATGTTTGAAAGTTTTTTGTATTGAAATAACTTTCAGAATATTTAAACTTATAATACGTTTGAATCCTATTATAAGAAACGACGCATCGATTGGTTTTGCCTTACATTCAAATACACGACAAACAAATTGAATGCAAAACTCATTCAAATTGATATTTCTTACGCTATTTAACGCTTTCACCGCTTGTTTTCGGCTTTAATTTTAAATTGTATTCATTTTAAGCAATTTATGCAACTTTTGTATTGTATGCCAAACCAGGGTTTGTCTGTATTGAAAGGGTTTGAGCGGTGTTTATGCGGCACACAGTCTATGCAATCGTCTGTCACTTATGTCTAAACGTATGCATTGTTTTCAACGTCTGTATTACTCGACACCTATAGTACTGGACATCGCATATCATTTGCATGTATTGCACGGTTAATGACATGTGATTACATACAGTGTATACATGTCTAGAGTTACACACTATTAGAGTAGAGCCCGAAAACCAGGGCTCAGACACTTGTCTGGGGGGCTGTGAGTGGGCTCAACACCAAAGCCGACCCCTCTTACAGTGCAAACTCGCAAATCATGACAATTGCATTGATGTGTGCACTCAAGGCATATGCCATACACTCTCACAGCGAGACTATTGCTGCAAATTTATGTATGAAATTATAATTTGACACTAAATTTGTTGCAAAAAGTTTTGGCCGAAAATACAATCTCTAAAAGAAGAGACGAAAAGATGTGTCGAAAAGAGAGTAATGTCTGGAAAACAGACACTTTTAGATGTGTTTATAAAAAGGCTTTCAATCAATCAATTTCTCGATTGAGAGCTCATTTCGTTTGAAGATTTTCTCTCAGACTATAACCGGAAATATAAAAAACATTACTTTTATTATGACATAAAAGAAAGTTTTTTATATCCAAGACTTCAATAATAGAGTCGACCATTACTTCAGTACCGAAATTGTTGCCCACATTTGTCCGTAAAGAAAGTTTTAGATGCTTTTGGTTTACAAATGTTTTTCAATGCAAAACTTTAAATCCATAAAACAGTTATTTTAATGCTTTTTTCCTAACAATAATTGTTTATTTAATTACAAAACTTTGTATTCAATAGACATTAAGTTTAATAATAAATAGATTAGAAGTGTTTTGTATTTGACTATAAAGTCGTTTAATGAATACAACAATAATGTAATGACTGTTTTAATTTAGAGATTAACTGACAGTTAATATACAGTAATAATAATTGAGATAAAATGGTTTGGCTTTTAAGAGGCAACACTGAATGATGAGTGCCATACAGTTTAGGTGCAGATAAAGTAAATGTAATGAATAGAGGGATGGAAATGGATTTGGGAATTAAGAGGCTTTCCATTGGACTCATTGTCTGGAGAAAGCGGGACGACTGTCGAGAGGCGATGTCTTAACAATAGCACACATGATATCTCATATGTAATTGCATTAAACATAACACGTTTGATATGATTCGTGTGATAACAAACCCCTTCACACTTTGATTCCCAATACTAACTAATGCCCTGAAATTTCATGTCAAATGGAGAGTGGGGTTGGAATCGCTTTTTCGTCACACATTATCTTATTGTTTAACTCATGAGTTAATGGCATCCGTTTTGTCAAATCACATCTAATAAGACGTCGATTTAAGGCTAAGGTTATAGTAATCAATGTTTAGGAGTCATGAAATGTATGTGAAAACTAATGCTTTCAAATCAGGTATTTGTATGTTTTTAGGCGACGATAATCCAAATTAATTGGATTTGTTATTCAATAATTTACTAGTAATCTGTTTAATGAGCTCTAGTTTTAGTATTCAATCAATGAAAATAGTTCTACTTTTACAACATTTTATATGTTTTTACATTAAATTTGAGCTTTTGTTACGTGAAGGGATTAATGCATGAGACAAATAGCACACAATTGTTTTACTTTTCTTGTTTTCATCCCAATGTCCAGCGGTTTTGACCATAGGTTAAGGCATTTACTGCTCCTTAACTCAATCAAATCAATCAACACAAATGTCAATATATAATGTTTTCACAGCAAGTATATTCAATGAGAAGTTAGATATCTAGATAAGTAGTGTGTTTTCAAAAGTATAAAACATGATGATTATGAATTATAAATTATGATAAAGCATTTAATTTACAAATGAATTGAATTAAATATTCAATTATTTTTAAAGACATGTAGTTAATAATAAATCAAATTACACAGTATAATTTAAAAATATAGTAATCCAGGTTATAATTTATTCCCATATATATTTATACGGTATACGTACAGAATATTCTGCAAACAATTTATAACTATTTTAAAGATATATTTAAAAAGTTATAAAAAATAAAACTTTTGGTTCAAATCTAGAGACGAGAGAAACATAAGTTCTTACTTTGATATGAGAGACGAATCGCAAAGAATTGATGTTTGAGATTAAGAAAGGCTAACATAACTATACTTTTAAATAAAGTGCACATTAGATGCTTTGACTTTTTTGAGTCAAACAAATTTGCATATTATCTGAAAGTTTGAACATTTTCTCTTCAAATCTTTTTTTGCTAAACTTCTGAAAACTAGTAAAAATGCAAAAAAAAACAATTTTAGTTGCAAGTTTTGACTATAATATAGTTATATTATAATGTATAGTAGATATATATAATTTAAGTTTCTTTAGTTTCAGATAAACGACAGCTTATTATTAAAAAACAAATGAATTTTTATTCTATATTCTTGTTATTATGTAAACAAAAAAGTAGTTTATTTTCTAATATTCTTCTTCTTTTAGAATTTAAAAGAATTTTATTGCATTTATTGAAGAATAATGTTAGAAATACAAGCAATTTTTCACTTCAATGGGTAAACAAAATTTAATGAACATAAAAACAACTGAATTGATTTTAATATTATATATTTTTTTAACAAATATAATCCTCACTTTCTTTTGAAAGATTATAATTTTTGATAAGAATTCATTAGTTTTAATTATTAAATATTTAATAATTTTAGTCATTTTATTATAAAAATTATATCAAAACATATACTTTAAGTATATTTTCACAATAAAAAACTTGAAAATTATTATATTAATTAATGATCAAATAAATTTCTTCCAACAAAAGAGTTTCTAGAATTTTCGTATAATTTAATGGTAAAACTATGTATGTTTATAAATGGCATGAATCCCATGAGTCGATGGTGTGTCCAAAGCTGCGGGTCATTGAGTTTTGATAAATAGCCGATTTGAGCCGAGGCTACACACCATCTCTTTCTAACAGTTTCTTTTACAATTCAAACAAATGTCAGTACATTTCAGTCGTCAATACAGTAGTCAACCAATCGATAGCAATATGTAAATGCAATAAAGTTTTATTTATATAAATTTCTAACTCGATAACAATTTTTCAAAGATGAAAATATTGATAATGTAATTATAATGATATCTAACTATACTTAACATAAATGAGTTTTTATTCAACATTTTTCTTTTATTATTAAATCATTCATTTTCAACACGAATTTAAATCTAAGGAATTGAGTAAATATAAGTCCTTTTGAGTGACTTATGATTTATGTAAACATAATTCCGTATAAAATTCCCTGAATTCTTATCCATTAGTTAAATTGAAAACTAAGAGCAAATGTAATAAAAAGAAGACATTTTAGATTAATGTGCATTTGATTGGATTTGCAATTTTCTCTGATTTCGTTTGCTTTTAGAGTTGGTTTTCAAATAAATAGTTTTTTTTACAAAAAAGGGACGTTTGAATCGATATATTTAAAGGTTTTTTGTATTTTGTATTAGACAGGAGTTTGTGTCAATGTTGTCATGTATTTGGTCTAAATTATATAAAATTGTACATTTGTGTGTCTAATTTAGTTTAGTTATAAATGATCTTGATTTACTCATATCAATCTTATTAAACACATCATTTCATCTTCTATTTCATTAATTTTATTTCAATTGTTTATTAAATTGAAATCTTATATTAATATAATTATTATTTTACAATATTATAATAATAAATTATTACAATCAATTATTGCTATATTATTTATTTAAAAATTTAATAAAAATTTGTAATATAACAGGTAAACCGTTTATATTATTTATATACACTAGAGGATCAACCATTTTAATTTTAATATAACATAGAATTAGCTTATCAAACCCCATACTCCTCTTCCAATTATGGTTAAATACGGGCTATTTATTAAGTTTATTTTGATGTAAAGAAATATAATTTTTTTTAAATCTTTGTCTCTCTCTCTCTCTCTCTCTCTCTCTAATTGGTATTTTGTTGTATTCATTGAAACCACAAATCAATTTTATATTTAAATGAACACACACGAACAAATTGATTTTTCTAAATATTAAGTTATATTTAAAGCTACGGTATATTACAATTATTAAAATCATGTTTAAATTGTTTTATTTTTTTATGAATTGAATTCTGGCTTTGTTAGTGTTAGTTGTATGTATTGTCACAGTGTTTGTGCGTCCTCCCCCCCCAAAAAAAATACTCTCTCTTATATATTCTTATTTAAAGCAAAACATCGTTTTTAATAAGATAGTATATAGATTATTTGATACACCGTATAAAAAATAATATCTCATATTTATACACAACTTATCAAAAATAAATCGAGAGTTAAAGTTAAAAACAAACATTACAATGTATAATATATTTGTAATAATATGATATTTGTATAAATATCAATAATATAAAAGTAATGATTTTTATTTCGTTTAATATCGTAAGTAGAGATGTATTGATATTTTAATATATTTTAACATTTTCAACCAAAATATAATAATTTATTATTAAATATTTCCGAGAATAAAATCCACATAATATCTCCAATATTTTGTATTATTATCATTGATTCCTGTATTACAACACTATATATATTCCTCATTAACTAATAGGCATAATATACTCCATACCAATTAACACCAACCTTAAAGTTCTTCATATAATTATATTAACTTCAAACACAATTCATGATAAAAGCAAATGATAAGTCCT